AAAAAAAAAAAAAGTTTCAATTTTTTGGTAACCACTCTAATTTGGGATTATGCTTTTATTATTTGCAATCTATACAAAAATATGGAATAAACATCACCATTTCACTCAAAAGCATGAGAAAAACAATGTGTATTTAGATTTACAATCACCGATTAGAAATATTACATATTTGTCAATTTAAAGTGATCCATCTTAACCTTCTCACAAATATGTCCGACACTAAAGGTAGGTTGTTGATATATTGGTCAAAAATATTACCCAAAATTGATCTTTTGGAGTAACTTAACATACATCTTAATACTAATTTTTTGATCGAATAACTATTATATAATGATGTCAAGATTATATTGCAAATATCAATACGAGTTTTTCAAACCAATAGTTTTCCATTTTTCAGGACTATGACCTGCAATGTAGTTATGTAGGTGAATTAAAATAAGCTAGAAAAAAAAAGGCTTGGAATTCAAGAAAAGCAGGAAAGAGAAGTACCGTTTGGGTGCCGAAGGCGACTGCAGAAAAATAAATGGAACCAGATAAAACTGCAGTGTTAGAATGATATACCAGAAGAGAATAAAGAAAAACAAAGAATGATGCATCAAACAGGATAATACCTGAGAATGGATATTTCATTGCAAAAATCTTCCATGTTTTCAGCAGTGAGATCTTGCTCCAAAAAGACTTTAATAGCAACCTCTGTTCCATTCCAAACACCACGAAAAACTTCCCCAAAAAACCCTGGATATGTAATCCCATAAATTGAACATTAATTGCCAACATTGAAAATCAACAATAGATGACTCAACAGCAATGTTCTAGTAAATGAAAAAATAAAAATTGGATTGACTTTCATTGTTTAGAAAAACTATTTGAGACTTACGCCTACCCAGAGGTAGAACCCTTAGTACCTGATGAAACCTTTTCAAAAACTACAGATGTCATATGAATTCAGGCTCAACTCAACACCTCATATCTCTTCATGCCCATTATTCATTGAGATAGACTACAAATTGTAGAGCATACAGAAGTGTAGTTGGAGATCGACTCCGCAGATCAAATTCAAGTATTTTTTCTACTTCTGTTTCCTCTTTTTGATTTCACCTTTTGTGTTAAAAGTAATTCAACTTGTCTAACAAATTTTCTTCACCTCTATAATTCTATGCAAAGAATGGCATCACTGCAGTAATTATACGAAAAATAGTAAACCTGAACTCCTTTTATGGTCTGCTTCAATCTCAAAGCATTTGGTCAAGTAAAAAAGGAATCTGGCAATAAAATTTCAGAGAATAATAGACATAATTATTTCTGCAATTTTTTTTTTTCTTTTAACAATTAAACGCCTGGTCCTGCTGCAATTCTCTCTTCTTTCCTCTCTAATAAAAGTAATACAACAAGTCAACAACAGTAATACTATTGGCAATGCTTACCAATCCCAACGCGAGTGCCAACAGTTAACTCCGAAAAATCAATATTCCATTCTTCAAATGGCAGCAGAGGCTTGTTCTGGAACATAGGTAGTCCCAGTACTCTGTTCCATGCTGAAACCATTTCTTCTTTTACCTTGTGAGTTCCTATTCTATCTGGAGTCGGACTGCTAAGTTCATGAGGAGATGAAGGTAACGACATTGCCTTCTGAGAGTTGTTTGGCCTTCGAGGAGAATACAAGGAAGACCTTCCACCAGACATGTTATCCTGATCAGAAAGGTGGATAATGGCATATGAGCAAGAACATAGTTCTTGATGATTGTGTACGAATCCAAGGTTTTGAACTATTGGATTAAAGGTGCAGTGAACAGGTGTGCCATATAAAGACATTAGCATACAATAAGAAATTAAAAAAACTGAATATGCATTAGTATTCTAAAACTTGTTTAGTGAATCAAGCAATTGACCAGGTACTTATGAAGAAGGTCCAGAATACACAATATATTAGATCTAACACTCAATGCCCTTGTGTGCAATTCTATGTTTAAAATGATTACCTCGTTCAGAAACCCATTTTCTTTTCGTGATATAATTTAAAAACAATAATATAGAAAGCAAGAGGCTTATGGGACTAACAGCCTTTGTAGATACAATTCCATGAATGGATTGAAATTGAATTCTCAGTTGAACTTCAAATAAGTTAAGAAACACAGTGATATAGCAAACAGCAATAAAGGTGTTGATCCGAGAGCTGACGAACCCTTGCTAAAATAGAAAGCAAAAGGCATATGGAACTATGCATCTTTACTGTTCTATGAATGGACTGAAATTGAATTCTCGGTTGAACTTCAGTTGTGATAAGAAACACAATGACAAAGAAAAAAGCTAAAAAGGTGTGGATCCGAGTGCAGATGAACCATGCTTCAACTCTACCACTACTGATTCATGTTTTGAAAAGACAAGGATAAAAGTAAAAGAATGCTTTTAAAAATTCACAAGAAATATGAGGAGAGTAGCTGTAATAAGTTTTATTCCTCTATTGTATAGTTAACCTTAGTAGCATTATTATAGGAGATACATTAGGGCATAAATAGAAGAGAAATGTTAGGAAGTTGTTAGGTTTTGTTTTTTTAATATATTTGCCTGCTGTAGCCTCAGAGTTCATCAATGAATATATGAAATTTCACAAAATTCATCAGAAAGGATTTGGAGTATTAGAGCTGAACTTCAATTTTATGATAACTAAAACTAAACAAAGCCCCAGATAGATATAGAATTTGAAGCCAAGGAATCAAAATATATACACATATAGCTCATATTGATCAAATGTGAAGAAAAAAAATATAACCTATAAATGTCGATTACAATTTGATTGTTAGACAATAGAAAATTACATTTGATATTATAAGTTATAACTGCATGCAATCAATTACTATGATGCTCGGACTCAGATACGGATATCTGGTATATATCTAAGTGTCGTATATTTTATTTTCTAAAATGTAGGATACGAGGATATAACTAAAAATGGTCCAAATTTCGGATACGGGTACGTGGATATGTATTTCAAACTTCAATTTTTTACTAATCCAAGATGTTACTTTGAATAGAACAAAATCAATTATTCACAAAAAAGGCAATAGGTATTGAATAAGGGGTTAAGACGAATAAATAAAATTTTGGGGTTTAGTTTTCAGTTATGAGAATTACTAAATGTTAAGGGTCTTGATTGCAATTTGGACTTAGTGGAACACTAAGTAGCACTATATAGAATCTATTTTCATTTTATACTAAAAAAACCCTAAACCATCGATACAGAGAGAAAAGGAAAAGAAAGAAAAAAATGGAAAGAAAAAAAAGAAGGGAAAACCTAGCGCCGTCGCTTTTCTCCACCCTCTCGGCTGCAATGCTAGGTTTAGAGAGCAAAAAAGGAAAAGAAGAAAAGGGAAGGAAAAGGAAAAGACGAAGAAAAGGGAAGGAAAAGGAAAAGAAGCAAAAACGACGAAGTGTCTGGTTGAAACTTGGCGAATCCGACACATATTCCATACCCATATCCATGTTGTATCGTGTCCGACACAGGCACTCCGACTATTTCGAAGAGTCCAAGCATCAAAGATCAGTTACCGACGCCACAACATAGGATATACCCAAAAAAAAAAAAAAGGAAAAAAGAAGCTCAACTGAAAATAGAAATATCATCATACACTATCAAAAGTCAGTACAAAAGTGAAAGAAAGAGAGCACAGTGTCAAAGAAAACATACATCTTTTTGCTGATCTGTGCCGTGTTGGTCAGTTGAACCAAAGGAATACGAGCTAGTTTCCTGTTGTTCTCTTAAGACACGATTCAGCTTTAATGATTCATTCATTGCTCGTACAGCCCTAAATTGATTCATAGTGATTTTAACAAGTGAGAAAGGAACAACGTAATCTGCAGGAAGTTACATGGAAAGTAGCCGGATCGTGAACGATAAATACAATAACAAGTATGTTCTAGATGAAATGAACTGAGCAGGGCTTCTGAAATAATTTGATTATTATAAAAATATTTGGAGCTTATTTTTTTATCAACTACGTCTGATTCAGTTTCGTGCTTTTTATGAACACGGAAGTATGCTGGCTTCACTGATTTTAGGTCACAAGCTTCACACAAGACAAGGGTGGGACAGAGAGTCAAAGCAACATACCAACATTAAAAGAACGTGGACATTACATATCTATTAGACAAAGAAACAGAGCTCACAAAATAATAATTCTGCAGTCATCAACTCACATAAAGTAACATGCCAATTAATAGCCCTAATCTACTGTCATAAAGTAACATGGTAAAGATAGCAGCAAGGAAACATTAACCATGGGCACATTTAAGAGCTCACAAAATAATAATTCTGCAGTCATCAACTCACACAAAAAGTAACATGCCCATTAATCTCCCTAATCTACTGTCATAAAGTAACATGGTAAAGATAGCAGCAAGGAAACATTAACCACGGGCACATTTAAGAATCAACAAAATTATCTCTACAAACTATCATTCAATTAAAATTTCAGGGATGCTGATAAATTATCTGTAATATAACATGCCAATGAATTGTATAATCTACTGTTTCAGCATGGAAAATCCACTGTTTGGCAAATTGATGCAAAATAGCTTCAAATGGAACTCAATAGCATTTCTTATTTGCAATTTGGAGAAAGCCTTTATAGCCCCTCAAGAAGTTTTTCTCCACCTATTATTTTTTTAACAGAGTAATATCCTTTGTATAGGACTTCATTAAAAGGAAAAGAAACAATTCCAATGTGGTAATAAGAGAGCATGTTTGTAAAAAAAAATATTAACCTTACGATGTCATCACCAATTTCCGGAGTCATGCTTATACTTCTCCTCCTTGTTCTCCGTATATCTGGTGTTGATGCACCTTCTGACCTGGTGCAAATTTCAACTTCTAAATCAGTAAAAACCAAGGAGTTCAAAAGGATCGACAATTAAATAAACTAAGCTGTTTATTAGGCATTCATTTCTTAAAACAAGAAGCTCCACTAACAAGAACAAGAAAATTCTGGACTAGCACATGGACATGGTCTAGAATATGCAAAATCAATATTAGAGTATAGTTTGCATATTTTTGTCATTCAGTTCAAGTAAAGAGTACATCAAAAGCACCTCATATGTCTCACTGGTGGAGTCGATGATAATTAAATCTTAGCCTCTGCTTAGTTTTTATAAAAATCAGATTTTTAGTAGAATTGAATAAAATGAAATGTGTGGTTAAAAAGTTGATAAAAGTTATTTGTGAATGAAAATGAGTTTGGGGAAAAATTAGTTTTAAAAAATTGGGCCAAACAGAGGCTTAATAACATTGGGTGGATAAAGATTGTATTAAGATCACAGAACATACGACTTTGTCAAATTACATCATATCACTTGTATAAGAAATCCTTATCAGCATTAAATAGTTTCAGGTAGTCAGATTTTATACTTCATAGTTTCTTATGTCAAACATGGATGCTGGTAGAATCAGAAGAGGCCAACAGTCCATTATTGCCTAATATGTGATTAAAAACTCGATGAGAGATATGTTTTTGGGGAAAATCACGAAATACTGCAGCACTACGTTGTCCCTTTTCCTTCTCTCCTCATTGTAAAGCAAAGAGAACTTAATATTCTTGCACCTTTTTTTCTGGTCTCTCCTCTTTCCTTTTGAAACTTATTATCTCTTCTCTGTTTTCCATTTATCTGCAATTTATCAGCTTTATTAGATGTTACATGATCACCCTTAATAACCCCTATAAAGCCCTTGAATATGTCAATTATGATAGTTATAAAAAGCAGGGGAAAAAAACTTAACATGCAATTTATGGAGCAGCAACTGCGTGACAAGTTGCCTTATTCAACATATAACCCTTGTTCATATAAAATTGCTTATCTAACAGAGGAATTTGCTTAAAATGAATTTGTTGAAGAAGCGCCATACGGAACACAGCTAACATATAGACAGTAAGTAAACACCTGCAAATCAACAAAATTTTACATTTCACTCTGGAATTAGAAAAGAAAAAGGACACAATGTGGTCAAGCCAAAATCTTAAAGGTGTTTCTGTTTCACTCCATAGACCACAGGAAAGCACAATGGGGAATTTCCATCATACCGATGCTAAAACACAAATGCAACGAACTCTTCAAGCAATTTGATATGACAAAATCCAGCCAAAGCACAACAGACAATTATAACTTTCCAGCCGACCATTCCTTACAAAAAAGCAAATAGGAATTTTGCATAGGAAATTAATAATCAAGGTACTCGAATGGCACCTCTGGCACAAATCCAAGATGCTTCTTTGTTTTACACGAGAAAAATTTCCTAATTGCTTGGATTGGTAATATTTGACAGTAATCATTATAATATTTCCAGTGATTCAATGAAAATCTGGGTAGCATGCAATGTTAAAAACGTCATTAACAAGTTCAAGAAAATACGAAGTATAAATTTTATAAGAGAATCATAATACATTTTATACATAATATCAATATCTCATTTTTGTCCAGCATTATTGTGCCCCTCAAAGGAGCCTACACAGTTCCACCAAAAGAGTCACCCAGATATTTAGCCCCTGTTTGACACCCATTTTGAAGAAGAATTTGATTTGGAATAGTGATTGATGGAAGAATGTGTGGTTAAAAAGTAAGGAGAATTTTTGGGTTTATGTGAAATATTATTTTATTGATAGAATGTGTGGTTGAAATATCGGGAGGTGGAACTTTTACTGGGAAAACGTCATACTCGTCATACTCTGTTCCCCTCCCTCCGTTCTTCTGTCAGATGCATCATTTCAGAAGCAGGCAGATAGCTTTGGTAAAAGGGGTTTCAATTTTCGGTTTAAAGTGGAGGCGAAAGAGTTTGTTGTGTCTGTGAATGATTCTGGCATTGTTAGGTTGACAGAATGGGGGCCGAGATTATCGAATGCAATTTACATGGGGAGGTTTGGTGCTTTGTGGATGTTGAATATGGTGAATAAATTGAGGGGGGCAAGCAAGCAGGAGGAGTTTGTTGTCAAGTTCACTGAGTCCTCGCGAGCCTTTATGGCACAGCGGTGCGGTAACAGTCGAGGTAGATATCTCACGATAGCACAGTACGGGGATAGGCGTCGGAAAGGAGTGGTGATGGTACCGGAAGGTGTGAATGGAGAGGGCTAGATGTCGATGTTGCGGATGTTTCAGGCAGTTGTCGATTTTTTTGTCACCAAAGATAAAGTCAAGCGTCAAACGACTAAAGTTAACAACCAACAATGGAGGTCTTATGCTGAAATTATCACAAACCGATAGGTCGAGCAGAAAACGAATAAGCCAGTGCTGGTGCAAAAGAAAATTGAGGTTTGTGGGGATGATACTCGCGCACGACTCTCAGATCCTATCAACGAGGGCCATCCATTGATGCCTAAGTTGAAGGAGACAATGGCAGGAGTGGTATTGGACAGTTCATTGCGTAATGCCGAAATAAGGGCTCGAGTCCAGGTACTAAAAGGTGAAGTGGATGAGTTATGGAGGCTACTGGGTGGTGGAGTTGTCATAAGTGCGAGGCTGGGGTGTCTGAGTATCCTACTAAGGAGTTACCATTGAACTTGATTCAAACTAAACCCAATTGTGAGAATCAAGTTAGGAATGACGTGGAATGCGATGGAGATGAAGACGGTAACGATATTATGGGGGTGGATGAGAATGAAGATTACTTGGGGAATACAGTATATCGGGAGGTGGAACTTTTACCGAAGGGAGGGGAACAGAGTATGACGAGTATGGAATTGATAACAGTGAATGAGACCGGATAGAATAGTGGGGCATCTGAGAATGAGGTAGACACTACCACATCGACAGAGGGAGTAGTGTTGACACCGGAGCAAAAAGTGACAGGTTCGACAACTATGATTGTAAACACTTACAACAGGAGGCATCACAAGTCTCTAACAGAAAAGGAGGTAGGGACTGAAAAAGCCATAGTAGTGTGGGTGGATGGAGTTAAATGATGAATAATGGACAAGGGGGTAGTGCAGGTGAACGAGGGGGAAGGACAGATCTTGGAGCCTTTTGGGTGTTGCTATGCAGAGGGGATAGTGAAAGTTAATGCGCTTGACGTTAGACCTCCAGTTTCAAATTGGGTTCTCCAAAAGATACAGCAGTTCAGCAAGATGGTGGGTGTGTCATGCAGTGGTTATGAGAGCAAACTCATGCAATTGTTTGAGGAGCTGGAGACTAATGGGGAACGTGAGATGGGTGCACCAGGAGGAAAAGCAAGAAGAAAGGGGGGACCGTGAGCTTAGGCAGCTCGAATGTTCGATAAACTATGATGTCAAAGGTGGTGAGTCATAGAGAGGGTTGCTGGGGAGGGATAAAGTAGAGTTTAAATGATCCCAAAAATCATTAGCTGGAATGTGCGTGGGCTCAACGAAGTTGGGAAAAGATTAGGTGTCCGGAACATGTTAAGGGGATGGTAGGCCGATCTTGTCTGTTTACAAGAAACGAAGTTAGAGGTCATTTCGAAGGCTGTTGTAAGTTCTTTATGGGGGGGACATCATATTAGGTATCAGTTTCTAGGAGCTTCAGGGGCATCAGGAGGCGTGCTTGTCATGTGGGACACTAGAGTGTTTGAAATGGAAGAGGTTAGTGTAGGGTTATTCTCTCTATCACTTTCCTTCACTAATGTTGGGGTAGATTTAAGTGGATGTTTATTAGAGTTTATGGGCCAAACTCAGATGTGGATAGAAGGTGCCTGTGGGACGAACTGACTGGTATGATGGCTTGGTGGAACTTACCAGTGTGCTTTGAGGGTGATTTTAATGTGGTTAGGTTTCCTTCTGAGAGGTCGAGCGGAGGGAGATTAACAGGGGCTATGGGGGATTTTTCTAATTTTATTAGTGAAAATATGTTTGTGGATTTGCCTATGATTGGGGAAGAGTTTACTTGGTCATCCAATCGCGATCAACCTATTCAATCTCGAATTGATCGATTCTTGATTAGTGTGAGTGGGAGGCTAAGTACGCTGATGTCACNTGGGAGATGTCACTTTTCGCAAAAATCAATGCCTATCAAATATAGAAGAATTAGATAGGTTGGAGGAAAATCACGGATTGGTTGGAGATGACAAAGCGAGACGTGGAGAATTAAGGGTAGAGTTGGAGAGGTTGGTGGAGATGGAGGAGATTGCTTAGAGACAGAAATCTAGGGTCGTGGTTGAAGGAGGGTAACAAATGCACGAGATTCTTTCATCGGGTCGCTAATTCCAACCGGCGCAATAATTCTATTACAATGTTGGAGGTTGATGGGGTTACGTACGAGGATCCACAAGACATTGTGACTCAGCAGGTGAGATTATATCAGAATCTCTATCGGGAACAGTTTGAGTGGAGGCCACAGTTAGATGGGCTGGATTTCTTTACTATCACTGAAGAGGATGCCAATTGGGTTGAACGACCAATTGAGGATGAAGTTAGAGATGTAGTGTTTAATATGAATGAAGATAAAGACCCTGGACCGGACGGATTCTCATTTTCATTCTATAAGGCTTGTTGGGAGGTAGTACGATTGGACATTATGGATACAATCACCTATTTTTTTGAACATGGCAGATTTATGAGAAATCTTAATGTCACATTTATTGTGCTGATTCCTAAGAAACCGGGAGCGTCCGATATTAAGGACTATCGTCCTATTAGTTTAATCAGTGGGATATATAAGATTATTGCTAAAATTTTGGCGAACAGATTAAAGGAGGTACTAGAAAAAGTTGTGTCCAAGTTCCAGAATGCTTTTGTGAAAGGGCGCCAGANTGTGAAGGGGCGCCAGATTTTGGATTCAGTTCTTATAGCAAACGAATGCATTGACTCAAGAACACGTCAGGGGGTTCCAGAGATGTTGTGTAAGCTTGATATCCAAAGGCGTATGATCACGTCAACTCGGAATTTCTTATGTATATGCTCCGGCGTTGCGGCTTTGGGGATAGGTGGTGTAAGTGGATTAAGTTTTGCATTTCCACTGTTTCATTCTCAGTTTTGGTTAATGGCAACCCTGAAGGCTACTTCCGGAGTAGTAGAGGCTTGAGGCAAGGTGATCCGTTGTCCCCTTTGTTGTTTGTTATTGTGATGGAGGCATTCAGTAGGATGGTTAAGAAAGTTGTGACGTGGGGTCTGTTAAGAGGCTTTGCGGTTGGCCATCTACAAGTATCCCATTTGTTATTCGCAGATGACACACTGATTTTCTGTGATGCAGACGATAGGCAAATCAGAAATTTGCGACGATTGCTTCTGTGTTTCGAAGCTATCTCTGGATTGAAAATAAATCTAGGGAAATCTGAGGTTATTCCAGTTGGAGAGCTGGCAAACGTGGAGGAATTGGCGGCCATATTGGAGTGTAAAGTTGCACAATTGCCTGTCATATCTTGGGCTTCCATTAGGAGCGAGGTTTAAAAGTAAACAAATTTGGAATGGTATTCTTGAAAGGATGGAGATGAGGTTAGTAGGGTGGAAGCGTATTTATTTGTCTAAAGGAGGCCGACTTACTCTCATCAAATCCACTCTCTCCAATCTTCCAACCTATTTTCTCTCACCGTTTCCTATTCCCGTTGCAGTGGCAAATAGATTAGAAAGGATCTAAAGGGACTTTCTTTGGGCAGGGTTGGGGGAAGAGAGGAAATTTCACTTGGTCAAATGGGGAGACGTCTGTTTCCTTGTTGGGGTAGGAGGTCTTGGATTGAGGAGTCTTGTATTATTTAACAAGGCCTTGTTAGGCAAGTGGTTGTGGCGATTTGGAAGTGAGAGGGGGAGCTTCTGGAGAGAAATTATAGGGGTGAAGTATGGTATTATGAAGGGCGGGTGGTGTTCGGGCGAGGGTCGTCGTTCTTATGGGGTGAGCCTGTGGAGGTATATCAGGAAAGGATGGAGTGAATTTCAAAATAGACTGGCTTTTGTGGTGGGGAATGGTACGAATGTCAGATTCTGGGATGATTGTTGGTGTGGAGATCAATCGCTTAAATCTCGGTTTCCTTCTTTACATCGCATTGCTTTGGAGCCTTCAGTTATGGTGAATAATGTTATGGCTAATCATAATGGGAGTCCTAGCTGGAACATCGCTTTCGGAAGGGGCTTGCATGACTGGGAATTGGATGATTATGCGCTGTTTTTGGCCTCTTTGTATGATGCGCACATTCAGATAAGAGTGGAGGACTGTAGTAGGTGGAGGGTGGCACGGAATGGTATGTTTTCTGTTCGTACTTATTTCAGATCCTTATTGGCACCTGTGGAGAGTTCATTCCCCTGGGAAAGGGTATGGTAATGTAAATTACCTCCAAAGGTGGCATTTCTACTGTGGACGGTTGTGAGGGGGCAGGTGTTAACGGCGGATAATCTTCGAAGAAAAGGATGTTATATTACTGAATGGTGTTATATGTGTAAGAGGGATGGAGAGACCATCGATCACCTGTTCATTCATTGTGACGGTGTCCGTTGGCTGTGGAATGATATCCTGGCTTCGCAACATATGAGTTGGGTGATGCCAAGACGTACAGAGGAGGTGGTGCGGGCATGGAAGAGAAAGTTGCATGATAAGAATTGCAAGCTTGTTTGGGATCTCATTCCAGGTTGCATTATTTGGTGTGTATGGAGAAAAAGAAACGACCGGTGCTTTGAAGATCGAACATGGACGATAGAGCAGTTTAGAGAATTTTTTTATTCGACTCTGTATAGTTGGTTCACCGTAGGAGCGAGGTTTAAAAGTAAACAAATTTGGAATGGTATTCTTGAAAGGATGGAGAGGAGATTAGTAGGGTGGAAGCGTATTTATTTGTCTAAAGGAGGCCAACTTACTCTCATCAAATCCACTCTCTCCAATCTCCCAACCTATTTTCTCTCACTGTTTCCTATTCCCGTTGCAGTGGCAAATAGATTAGAAAGGATCCAAAGGGACTTTCTTTGGGCAGGGTTGGGGGAAGAGAGGAAATTTCACTTGGTCAAATGGGGAGACATCTGTTCTCCTGTTGGGGTAAGAGGTCTTGGATTGAGGAGTCTTGTATTATTTAACAAGGCCTTGCTAGGCAAGTGGCTGTGGCGATTTGGAAGTGAGAGGGGGAGCTTCTGGAGAGAAATTACAGGGGTAAAGTATGGTGTTATGAAGGGCGGGAGGTGTTAGGGCGAGGGTCGTGGTTCTTATGGGGTGAACCTGTGGAGGTATATCAGGAAAGGATGGAGTGAATGTCAAAATAGACTAGCTTTTGTGGTGGGGAGCGATACGAATGTCAGACTCTGGAAGGATTGTTGGTGTGGAGATCAATCACTAAAAGTTCGGTTTCCTTCTTTGCATCGCATTGCCTTAGAGCCTTCAATTATTGTGAGGGATGCTATGACTATTTATAATGGGAATCCTAGCTGAAATATTACTTTCGGAAGGGGCTTACATGATTGGGAATTGGATGATTATGCATTGTTTTTTGCCTCGTTGTATGAGGTACACATTCAGGTAGGAGTGGAGGACTGTAGCAGGTGGAAGGTGGCCCGGAATGGCATGTTTTCTGTTCACACTTGTTTAAAATCCTTATTGGAACCTGTGGAGAGCTCATTCCCTTAGGAAAGGGTATGGCAATGTAAATTACCTCCGATGGTGGCATTTTTACTATGGATGGTTGTAAGGGGGCAGGTATTAACGGCGGATAATCTTCGAAGAAGAGGATGTTATAGTACAGAATGGTGTTATTTGTGTAAGAGGGATGGAGAGACGATCAATCATTTGTTCATCCATTGTGACGGTGCCCGTTGGCTGTGGAATGATATCCTAGATTTGCAACATATGAGTTGGGTGTTGCCAAGGCGTATAGAAAACGTGGTGCGGGCATGGAAGAGAAAGTTTCGAGATAAGAAGTGCAAGCTTGTTTGGGATCTCATTCCAGGTTGCATTGTTTGATGCATGTGGAGAGAAAGAAACGGCCGGTGCTTTGAAGATCAAACACGGACGATAGAACAGTTTAGAGAATTGTTTTATTCAACTTTGTTTAGTTGGTTTAATGCTGCAACCACTAGTTCGATAGAAGGGTTGCCTAATTTTTTATCGTTTATTTCTTGTTTTAACTGATAATGCACTCTTTGTGTGTTATCTTTTGATTTTGATTTTGATTTATAAAATACGTGATTACCTATAAAAAAAAAGAATGTGTGGTTGAAATGAAGAATGAAAAAAAAATGAGAATGGGAATGAGAAAAAAATGGATGTCAAACAAGGGCTTAGGAATGTAATGTAACCCCAAATATAGAATTATGATGATAGTCGTTGTTAGACAAACTTTATCACTTATAAACTGCAATTGTCACTTACACTCAAGGAAGAGTATTTTTACAGGTCAAATAAATCAAGTTGTAAAATACTACATGTCCAGAATATGTTACTGAATTATAAACAACACTAAGGACTCAAAAGGCCAACCGTCCTTTAGTTTCCTTATCATTACCTACTGATTGCCCTTCTTCGGAAATAAAATAAGAAAATAGGAAAATATAAATAACAAGTATTCTCTTTGATTTTCCATATCATATAAAACATATTTGAAACAGGTTGGAACTATCTTTAAAATTCTGGACCAGCAAAATAAGGGAACATTTTTCTTGGTCTCTAATCAACTGACCAGCAAAATAAGGTGACATCTTCGATGAACTTAGGCAAAGGGCTTTATTCATACAAGAAGAACTATTTGATATAAACTTGCCATGCACTATGATTTAATTGATATAATAGCCAAAGAGTGACATTGATGATCCACCACTTATCAGATTGGTGAATATCAAAATACAAAGTATAGAGGAGGACTCAATTTTGAGATTCAAAACCAGATGCACCAGTCAAGAAATAATTTCAAACCCCAGGAAATAAATAACAGGATGATAACAAAAGTATGCACCTTGATGTAGTTTTGTCATTAGAATAATCTCTGAAAGATTTGCTATCTCCACTAAGCATGGATCGACCACGTGTGTGAAATGAAGGATGCTCCGGACTGAAAATTCCGACACAGTTTAGAAGTTTAATATCGATTTCAACCTAAAATCCTTCCTCTATAACTTCTCAAATGAAAGTTTTGGGCATTGAAGATCATAGTTACCATACAGAAGTAAGAGCTATATAAGGAAGGTTCAAACGACTCATAATAGTGTTCATTACTGAATAGTACATATATTGAAAGAAGAATTTATTAGAAATAAGTTACAATATCCAAGCATAAAACAAGAAAATAAAATGGGAAAGTATCTATTCAACTGCAGTATATGCGGTGGAAATACACTAAACTTATTTTACTTAATTATAGGTGTTCTCCAAAAAATAATTACTTTTTAGTTTTTCTATATACCATCATGCCACATGTCAGCAAAAGAATCATTTAGCTAACATGCCATTTCCTTAAGAAGTTACAAGTGATCTTAATTGGTATTGTTAAGCTCTTTCAAAGAGGATATAAGAAGGCAATCAAATAAGTCTGATCGGAGAAAATGATTTTCAGATTAAATATCACCATTATTATGTTAGTGAGATATACATCCAGAAACTACTAGTATTTTCTAGTTTCTTTTCCTATCTACAAAAGCAATCCTTATTTATTCGTCAAATAGTTCAAATATAAACATTTAAAAAATACAATTTGAAGACCAAATACGGACAACAGAACAGTTTAGGGAGTTGTTTTATTTGACATTGTATACTTGATTTAATGCCGCGACTACTAGGCATGTAGATGTGTTGCCCAATTTCATGATTTTCCTTTCTGCTTTGTATTGATGATACACTTCCTGTGCATTAAGCTTTTAACTATTTAGTTGCTTAAAACAAAAGGGAATGAGGAAAAAGGATTCAAATAACCAATTTCCAGTTGTTTGGAATAATAAGGCTTACTTCGTTGTTGTCAGTGTCTTTCTCTTTCACAGTTCAAGTAAATTATAGCAAGCTGGGCCAGTGATGTTATTTGCCAGAAAAACGCCAACAATCCTATCGTAAACAAACTTATGATCTTGTTCTATAAGAATGTTTGACACCTCTTATATCTACAGTGAATTCTTACTCACAAGTATCCAGTCTCAATCATTACTTGGACATCATCTTATGTAGAGGTGCACCCTTCATTGATACAAGTATTAACATAGAGTATCTAAGTAATTTTTTGCACAATGTTTGGCCAAGAAATAAGAATTCCTGTAAAATGGTATACATGGCTTGTCTATTATTAATGGTACAACTTGATGACTCCTAGGAAATGAAATGATGCTCAAAATTATGCATTAAGGAAACTCGAACTTGTGGAGGCGGTGAACAGTGATGAGCATCTGTGATTTGGAAAGTATTCATCTTATCTTCAAATGGAAACAAGGAAATATATTTGTACCAATCTGCAAGGTTTTATTTTTTAAATTATAAAACTTCAGAGATTAAGATATGAAGTTCTAGAACTGAATTCAATTTAAGCTGCACCATAAAAACACAGTCTGGGCTATCAAGAAAAACCTTGAACTGGCAGTCCTTTGTTCAGGAATGATCTGCCTCCGGCCCCTTCGCCAAAATGTAGCAGCAATATTAGGTTCGCTGTGTGGTAAGCTGAAACAACAATTTAAATCGGTAAGAGAGCTTCTTGAAAGAGAAATTGCAAGTGAAAAGCAAGCATATTCCGAGGAATAAACCAAAATATAGTGAATAGCATTATTATTACTTCAGTTTTCTATCAACGGAGTTCGATCGTAACATCATATTCCTCAATGAAGGCCCAGCTGCATTTGAAGATGCTTCAAATCTACGCTGATACAGGAGGCCATCTTCTTTCTTAGCACTGTATAATCAAAAAGGTTCAATAAATACCAAAAATTACAGAAAGACATCAATTGAGCTGATTTTTTCTCATCTACAAAGATCATTCCTACCAAAAAAGGAAATCTTTATTTCTACAATTATTGAGTTACAATTTCAGAAGGGAACCCTAATGGTTACACGGTGTTTGAATGAAAAAAGATATGCTAACCTCTCAGGATCAACTGTCTCTGACACCCCATATAGAGGACTGTTTGGTCCCATCGGAGAATCACAAGACTCATTTTCTGCTGAATCACTCTCCCCGGCAGCAGATATGTGAGTCATAAAGATAGCCTTGGTTGATCGTGGGATCAGCTGGCCAGGAAACCGCATGAGATCAACTAATAGTTCGACAGAATTCAGCACAACTAAGACAGACATATGTTTGCATGAGTCGACACACTCAGAATCTCCTTCAGTAGGCAAACCCTGATAAGGAAAACCCATATGTACATCCAATGAGATAGAACCAAACTGAAAAGGACATGAGAAGGAAGGCCTTGAAAACTCACTAGAAGAATTCCCAATGGTAGAAACATGATAATAACTGGGGGTATAAATGAATAAGTAGAAGTACAATTTCCCAGAAAATAGTAAAGCTTACCACCACTAGCGTATTTTCAAGTCCTACAGTATCTGCAAGAACTTTAAACAATATTGCTCGAGGTCTGCATGAACCATGCTTTATTTGGCCCAGCACCTGCACCCCTTGATTTTCAGATATATGAGAGGTGTCCTCAAGAACAGCTTTCTTTGGACTCAGTTCTGAATTTGGCCGTCCATAAACATCAGACACCTATTCAATAAATCAGAAATATAAGAGATCCATGAGCAATACTATAACCAAATGACAATCACACAGTATGGAGAAGTGACTAATTAATTAACTGCGAATGCAAGTAAAAAGCATTCCACTAAATACTGAGAACCATCCACAAAACTTTTGCCTGTCCTCCCCATCAATGTATTTCCAGCCCTGCATATAATGCAAGAGCTGAACTTCTATGGTGTGGATCGCAAGAGCAAGCACACATTACAAGTAAACATATACAGGCTAACAAAAGACAATAGTTCATGTTCTAAACTGTTATGGAATGGGAAAAATAACTATTTTATTATAAAAAAGAAAGTCTATACTTTTAATGGGCAGTTATGCCACCAAATAATGGACTCCCTATTATTTGCATGAGAAAGACAAATTAACACTCTTTTTTTCTCAAGTTGAATGAGTTTCATGACAAGAAAGCATAAATTATAGAACGACATCACTCATCTAACTGTGTGTTTGTCTCCTATGTTTCTTTTCCTCAAGATAAAAGATGAATTGGGAGTCCATAAAGAGCATATCAAGATGTTTCCCCACCATGTTAGGTCCTTCTCAAGTGTAAATTATTTTTGTTAATTCTGTTATTACTGAAGTTAATTGGAGTCACTAGAGCATTTTACAGTCTCTCTCTCTCCATTCTCATGAGTGCGTGTTTGCTTTTAGGCAGCAAAAACACAGTTACAATAATGCATGCAGTATTGAAGAGAATTCTCTCAATAAGAGAACCTAGTTTCCAATCAAATTTGTTCAGAAGTAACCCTTGAAAAAGGTACTCAAATTTTGAGTAAAGAACTTGAACTTAGCAATATGTAATAAAGACATCAATGGAATAAAAAAAAAAGTAACAAATTTATAATGCAATTGCAAATGAAATATATAATCAGATTGAGAAGATATTTGAATGCTCACCAATCCAGCAATCTTTTTAATCATAGCTGCAGGATTCGCATTCAAGCCCTTGACAAGAGCCACAATTAGCTGCTTAAGCATGGAAAGTTTCTTATCTTTCACTGAATCCACAAGAATGACCTCGGCTCTCAAACCCCCAAGCTCCAAAGCATGAAGCTCCTCCAGAGTAGGTATATCTTCATACAGTTCCTTGAGCATTTTATCCTGTCAATGATGACATTATTAGCAAAGTGCCTCTTGAATGGAAAAAGAATAAAGCTAGCAAGACAGAATCTGACAAAATCATCAGCAAAAAATATAGACCACAAGTTATTGCTGAATCAACTGAATATACGATAGAAATTATAGGTTCTTTCTACAGTGCAGCTATGTAAAAGATAGGGAACTATGAATGTCTTGCAATCATAAAAAATGTCATCCATTTATCATAGAAACTAAATCCAGCATTCCTCTTTGAGAACTGTGTGCTGTCCCCAACTTTTGAATATGGGATGTTCAACCTTAAATGGCATCTTTCTACAAAGGGAAATAATTCCAATTTGATGTTCCAATTTACCCTTTGAAGAGTAGCGCAAAAAAATAATTGCAAAAGAAACAGGTCAACGTTTTCTCGTCCATTCATGGAGCTGATGGCTGATCCTTGTCATTTGTCAATGTCCCACCCATTTCCACCGCTAATTTTTTATGTTTAAAGGAAGATCAATAAGGTCTGATGTTTTCATCTTGGTCTGAAACATTGATTAAACCTCGAATTCAATAGGGATGAAGTGAACCTGTTAATTGTGCATATTTTATACATGATTCATCTATTTGTTTAATCTTATTTCTAGCAGGACGGGAGGGGTGTTCAACTTGAGTAGGAAAGGAATGGAGATATCTACTCAAGAACTACGATCTCTGTCTTCACAAACTGGCAAGTTTATGTTCGACTACAGGCTTAGTCGCCCATTAATAAAATGACAAAAAGGGACAAGGAAGTGAAGAAACAGGCCATCCATGTAACTTGAGGTTCCCAACTTTAGGTTCTCTACTTTCAGCCAAAGCAACATATTGTGGTAGGTTGTTAATTTTTTCATGTCTACATTCTATTTTATGAAAATTAGTGAAAAAAGCCTATTTTCCTTATTCCTCTAACAGGTAACNAATCGCAATCTTTGACGATCTCTGTAATCGTATTCTATATCCTTAACAGTAACAACAGTGAGAAAGGAAATAAGTTGCTAGCAATTTATTATTCATTTTAATTATCCGAGGAAAACAATGATCAGTTAATCAATCAGAGAAGACCAGGCTATGCAACTGCACAGTACTTAATATGACAGGAATAAGGTTTTAATGATGCCAGACATAATTTACGCCCTTGTTTGGTCCTCAATATTTCCAAAATACATTTTTCTCTCTTATTTTTAACCACACATTCTTCAATAAAATAATATTACACGCAAATTCAAAAAATTTCCTTATTTTTTAACCACTCATTATACATCAAAATATTATTGTATTAAGGAAATAAATATAAAAGGAAAGATTACATAATCAACTACTAAGAAAAGTAAACCTACACTAAAAGGAAAGTATATATAATCGCAATCTTTGACGATCTCTGTAATCGTATTCTATATCCTTAACAGTAACAACAGTGAGAAAGGAAATAAGTTGCTAGCAATTTATTATTCATTTTAATTATCCGAGGAAAACAATGATCAGTTAATCAATCAGAGAAGACCAGGCTATGCAACTGCACAGTACTTAATATGACATGAATAAGGTTTTAATGATGCCAGACATAATTTACGCCCTTGTTTGGTCCTCAATATTTCCAAATACATTTTTCTCTCTTATTTTTAACCACACATTCTTCAATAAAATAATATTACACGCAAATTCAAAAAATTTCCTTATTTTTTAACCACTCATTATACATCAAAATATTATAATTGAGTTATTAAATTACCAATTTTCAATTTTTCACCATGTTTGATCCACATTCTTACAAAATTCATTTTTTTCAAAACTCATTTTCAACCACACATTTTTCAATAAAATAATATTACACGCAAATTCAAAAAATTTCCTTATTTTTTAACCACTCATTATACATCAAAATATTATTGTATAATGCATCTTGGAGAAAAAATGGGGCTCAAACAGGCTCTACGCACACAATGATCCCGTACAAGTTGAAAGTAAACTCTTCTAACAGTACTTCAAACTATTGGTCAATGCTAAATCACGACAATAATATGTTGAAAATTTGAAAAGGTCAAATTGGACTTTAATAGCCACTCCACTATCTATATTTCTATCGTGTTCCATTGATCCAAGAACTCTTCATGCTCATGCCTTTGTGAAATGCAATGCATAGGATACATATTGGTACTAGATACTACATTAGCATTCGTTTGTCCTATCAAGCAACTTGAAAAAATTCCATGTCTCATAATGATTCAGAACTACTTTCTTCAAATAAATACATCTAAAATGGAAATCCAATTCTATGTTCAAGGTAAGGCATATTTCCATTCAGTTGTTACTTCAAATGAAGTTTGCAAATCCTATCCGAACTGGAAGACCATTTTCAGATCTTCAACAGGTTTGATAACAGCATAGAAGAACAGATTTAACACCATTGAGTGTCTTTAACAAAAGTTATTTAGTCAACAACTATCTCCAACAGTCAAAATAGTGACACGTTTGGAGTGAGCATTAAGCAAGAAGCATCATCTGCATAATATTCTCCACTTTCTTTCGAAGCAAGAAGTAGGTTGCCGGAGCAAACTGAACTAACTCTGGCTAATGGGGAAATAAATAGTTCAGATTCTCAAGAAAATCGAAAGAAGTAAATCGTAAAAGAAAATATATTAGATATAATATGCTAAACCTAGAGATATTAGTTTAGGCGCTCACGGGAACAACATAGTAGAAACCATTTGGAATTGGTTCAGAAAGTATTCCAGTGCTCCAAAGTATCTGTGATGCCGTCTTATATGACAACCGATCATCTTTCACATTGTAGGAAGGTTCTTTATTTCTCAGAATTTCTTCTTTGGAATCCAAGGAGACAGATCCAAATTTTTCAAGGAAATCTAAAGACCTCCGCTTAGCAACATGGTGCCTGTGCTCTGATGGAGCATCATCTCGTGTATTCGCCATGTCCATAAATCTTGAGATGCAATACCATCTCGTTAAAACCTTTTACCCCATAAAAGCATTTATAAGCTACACATTTTCTTAAAGACACGAACTCGTTGATATATAAACTTCTTTTACTCCGACTTCCATAAGCTGGAGGTGTACCTGAAAAGTGGAAAAAGTGTTATAACCCACCGTCAATAAGTATATCCTTAATTCAAGATGATCAAATACTTTTAAGAGGCATGCTCAAAAAGCAGAATGACAGGAAAAGGATAAGTTTAAAAGTACAACAATAAAAGGTCCAAATAGCTGACAGAATCCACATTAAAACTACGCAGTATATGATGAAAAAAAGCGATGTAGCAAAAAAAGCCCCCACGAGAACGCAAACATAACTGAAAAAGATAAAAGGAAACAAAAAATAACAAAACAAGAAAGAAAAAAAGTTGGAAGAATAAAAAACCTTGAAAAGGTGAAAGATAAACAGGGAATTGCAACTAAACTTCTAAAAGAAGAAACAAATTTTTCATGAGAAATGAGACAAATAGAAACCCACAAACTCCATCCAGTGCAAAGGACTTCGTACATCAACAATTCAGAGTTGATAAGTAGTCCATAAAAACACTAGCTTTGTGATCTACCAGATAAACTGAAACTCTGTGCTTTTCTTATGGTTCTGATCAGTCAGCATAGGCCACTTGCGATGCGGGCAATAAAAAGCTCTAAGCAAGATCAAAGGAAGAATTTTCTAACAATGCAGGATTCTTTGAAGATATTTTACAGCCCAAAAACCTTTGTAAACCTTTAGTATCCAAAAGCAAATTAAGTACTAACAAAACGAACTTATATTCAAAGATCTCCACCTTAAAAGCTCAAATCTTTGTTTGCCTCCACGTACACTTAACCGATTACACAGATTTTGATTATATTGCCAAAAAAAAAAACTATTTTAATTTATAAGTAAACTGAATCGTTTATAAAACATTTAACTTGCTGATGAAGTATATCAAGAAAGGAAAAGACGAGCTGTTCAATTCTAAAATTGTTAAAAACCTTGGAAAAAATAATTTTTAAGCCTTTTAAGCATTACAAGGAATAATATAAACTCAAGAATACGAAGTGAGCATGAATATAGAACCACATGACACATAAAAGGCCAAAAAGAGAGAACAAAAGTAGTAAACAAACAATTCCCCTCTTAATTGTAATTCTAAAGCTGAAGTAGTTTTCATGAAGTCCATAACAAGCTTCCTCCTGTAAACTTTAATCGAAATATTGGAAGAAGGGAGAGTAGAGAGAATTTGAGCTTGGCATGAAATGTACTGTCAACACATAAATTTCATCGGGATTTCTAGATTTTTATTCTCGATTTTTTCTGGAAAAAAGAAAATTCCGTTCCCAGTGTATTCACTGAACAGAACGGAAGAAACTATTTACAGAGAGCCTGATGCCACCAGTTTGTCTGAACCATGATTCTTAAGAGGAATGGAAGAAAAGTACACTTCATAACTCTATAACTCTACAAGATACAAAATCAAGCATCCAATATTCCCCAGAAGATTGCACAATCCTCAAATGATTTATAATTGAATCCCCTCAGTACAATTCATGTTTCAAATAGTGCTACTCTCCAAGCTCTGTTGTCTGTGGATCTTCGACCACCAGACGTCCAACAACCTAAAATTCTAGTGGTGGTTGTTGGCATGGCACATAGATTCCCTAGAAAAGAAAAACGTTAAACAACAGTACAACACAACTCTGTTTGTACCCAACAAAGCCGTATATGGTCATCTTTTCGCGTGTTACTTGTACTGGTATTTAAATTTTCTCTTCAGTGACCGACATTATCCACGTAAGAAGATCCGTAGGATATAAATGAGCCCCTAAGACTCACCACTAACCATATACCTTCTCTATCACCAGAACCAACAATGTGAAGCTTCAGCGTGTCCTGCACAGCTAAAAATGTGATAGTACATGCCGCATAGATATCATATCCGGATTTCAAACTAGCTTTTTTACTACATCAGTCTAACAGTCTAGCTTCTTTGAATTTTGATATATCAAAGCCATAATTTCTCAGCAGTAACTCCTCAAAAACTGTGGCACGTAAATAACTCGCATATTCAAGGTCATGAGGCATAATCAATACTAGAATGATCAATCCAAACAGCAATGCTGAATTTCCTGGCCAAAATTCTTACTGTTAGCCTCTCAAATAACTCAGTTTACCAGTGTACACTCTCATTGGCGGCAACTAATTCACTAAACACAAATGCAGCTAAAATTCTTTATTCAAATATTCACATACATTTTTAGAAACAAAATTCTATCACTACATAACAAATTCCACTGGCAAACATCATATTAAACAAATGTAGGATCACTCGCTAAAAAATCTACAAATATAATTCAATGTCCACTGTCCAGGTCATGCACCACATAAAAATCAAAAACACAACACGAAATTTCTCGAATCTAATTTCCAGACATTCAAGTACCCTACCACTGCTCAAAAATCAACAATTCAATCACTTCTCTTCATTCATTTCCTTACATGCAAGCTCCTATCACTAAATATAATCTAGAGTCCAAAATATAACTGTAAAATATCAAAAAAAAAAAAAAAACCAAAGCATTCAAATAAAATAAACATATAAAATCAATAAATTACACAGGTTAAGCGTGATCGAGGAACTCACCAGCAACAGATCTTAGTTAAGAGAAACACGTCACATTTGAATCCTCGGAGTTTCCGCTACCAAATTTCGCCCGTCTAAATCGAAGATTTGAAATCAAAAATGATTATTACTCGAGTAAGAGAGAGAGCGACAGTTCGTATATGCAAACAAAAGTGATTATGTGATTATACATACACACGCATACATATATATATATATAGGGACAGAGAGAGAGAGAGAGAGAGGGGGTGGGGGAGGGAGGGAGAGGCGGGGGTTTATTTGACTGCAATTAATATTTTCGGGGTTTTGTAATTAAAAAATGTGCTATTGATTGGTTTGTTGAACAATATTTACAATCTATTTTTGCACAAAGTACAATGTTTGTCGAT